AAGAGTCTGGGCAGGTACTGGAGACCTGTGGATAGTTTAAGCCCTGTTGCAACCTTCCATGTGATATGGGCTGAGTTATTTTATCCCCTGAAGGTAAGCAACCTCTTCTGTAAAACTGAAGAATAATGTTGCTACCTGAAGCCATACCTGCCCTCCGTGTAGTAGCATGGCTCTGTGTGTCTGTGTAGCACCTAACTCAAAGGGGGTCTTTGAACATTTCAGGTAAGTGTAACATACATAAATTATGCTAAATAGCTATATTTTTGCTAGCTAAAATAATAATTAATGCTTTATATCAGGCTGAAAGACAGCATTTCTGTGTCCAAAATAACTCAGCTGAGCTTGAGGAATTCCCCTCAATATGGTGTAAACTACATGCTCTTATCATCATACCACCAGTAATATGGCTTGTTGCTGCCTGCCTATGGTCACTTGGCATCCTTTCTGTCTCATGCTTTTGTTGTCCTTTTAGTTGTTTTGCTCCTTATCGCTTCTCCCTCTGTTTCCCTACTCTGCCTTTACGTATAACTTTTCCTCAGAGCAGATTCATCTGTGATTGAACTGTAACCCTCCTTTCACATCAATGGCATCTGCAGGCAGGGGGCAGGGGAGTGAGAGAGAAGGTAAACCAAGTATATATTTCTTCTACCTACTGTTGCAAAGACTGGAGAGGTAAAAGGGATGGTCTGGGCTATTTGGCTTCTCAAAAGAGGAGCCAGACATCAGAGAACAGAATTTTGAAAGTGCTCATCTCTTTTTCAGGCACCAAAGTATGTGACCAGGTTGGCAAAGACTTCAGCACGTCCAGTAATGAGTTTTCTTGGAAACCTGTCCAGAGCTGACATAATGGCAGCTCTGTTGCCTAGTAAGCTGTGTTGGAAATCTGGCCCCAAGGACGATGTTGACTTCTCATAAATCTGGCATTTTGTCTTTATGGGCCTTTAAAGTACCAGTTAAATACCTTGGTTCAATTAAGCCCAAAAGCACGTGCTGTGCTGTTCATACTCAGGGTGGCAGGGAAGCACATGATTGGCCTGTAATGGAGTTTCAGTAATGAGTTAGACTCATGTGTCATTTCTTGAACTGGAAGATTTTCTTAATTAGGTCTTCACTGTGTATCACTGCCAACATGTAAAATTCCAAGCCGCAGCTGCCTGCAGCTTGAAAAGCTCCATGTGATTGTCGTCCTTGACTCTACGGTGAGCTGGATCAGACACACTGTCTCCCAGTCTTATGTTTGTTCTCCTGTCATGACAGCAACAGGACACCTCCATCTCCAATAGTAGATTTGGCACATACCCAGGGCAGGACCATCCTCTACTGTCTATGCTGGGCTTGACTGAAGTCCACCCCTACCCCCAAAATCCCATCTGTGGCAGAAGCCATAAACATTTGCCCTGAGAAGAGTGAAAACAGAGTAAGGGCACTCAATGCTTCCTTCTATTACTCTCCCAGCATCTAATTTGCAGCTGGGGGCCTTCATGAGCTGGATTTGGTCTTCCTGTATTAGGTAACCGACAATGTTTTCTCTTCCCTTAACTTGTTGAGTCTCCCCTTGGACTCATAGAAATTTTTGGCTTCTCTGAATTCCTATGGCAACAAGTTCCACACATCTCCTACTCCTCTCATTTCTTTTAAATCTGCTCTTTAGTATCTTCTTTTATGTTCTGCCCCTACAGTTCTTGTATTAAAGAACACTCCTTTTAAATGTTGTAAGAGCAGATACAGTGGCCAGAGGTCAGAGGTTTCCACTACTGCCCCCCCATTTATTTTTAGTAAGTCTGTAATGCCAAGAATCTCCCAAAGGCCAATAAAATTTTATTGTTGTTAATATCGCTGTTATTAGCAGTTACACTGAGTCAGGTTGTTGTGATTGTCCTGAGTCAGATTGTTACAGTACATGTTGTGGGATAGGGAGAAGCAGTGGAGCTGACCTTTGAGTTTCTTATCCTCTGAAACCGCTGATGCTGCAGGCTGTAAAGTACAGCAGGTTTTTCAACTATGAACTAGTAGATCTCAAGGTCAGAATAAATCTGGAATTAAAGGAACATCGTGACACGTTGACTGATATTTCTGTATTACATCTTCTCATGGTTGTATTCTTAAATAATTTTATTCAGCAACTATTTTAGTATGCTTTTGGTGAGAACTAGAGCCTGGAAAAGTGAAAGCCATGCATGATCTAGAAAACAAAAGTATAAAATACTGGGTAGGAAGGTGGCTGTTAATGAAGTTTGAACTAAAAATACAGGTTTGCAGCATTAAGGGTACCTAACTTCTAGAGAAGATCATCAAGGAGTGTGAGGGCAATCAAGTCTCCATCATTGGAGGCTGTAGTCTAAAGCTGATCTGTTTCTAAAAAGTATGTTTTAATTTGTCCACATCATGGGGTGAAATCTATGACATACATAACAGGGTCAGACTAGATGGTTAGTGCAGTCCTTCCTGACATAAAGCAAAAACAGATTTAGAGATTTTTTTCCATTTTTGTTTTGTACCAACATTTCCTTCTGCACCCTCCAATCATCTTACAGAACAAGGAGCTGAAGTAATATTTATAACATATTTACTACATGTTTACTCTAGGTTTCCTGATTCCCAATCCTGACCTCAAACCACTAAATCAGGGTTTCCAATCTGTGGGCCTCCCACCTTCTATGGTACATTTACAACAGCAAAAGAGGTGCACCAGATTATGCCTTTCAGACATAACCTATGATAAACTTCTGACTAAATGTGCAGTTTTCTGTCTGTAGAATCGTGGTGGAGTGCTGTAGGTCAACAGAATAAGATGATTTTCTCTTTCTTGTTTTTAGAAAGAATAAAGAGTCGACAGAGAGAGAAAATTTAGAAGAGAAAGGCGAAGTGACAGTAACAGTAGAAAACGGGATTCCTTGTGAAACTCTGGATCTAAAAGCAGGCCACATTAATGGAGTCTTTGTAGCAGATGATGAACGGTTCACGTCCTTATGAAATGGTGCCATTGCTGTCTGGTGGGTTTTTGAAAGACTCCTGTGCCTACCTTATCTCGTCACTACTCCTCAATGTCAAACACGAAGACAAGAAAAACGTCCTTTCACTTAATTTCCCTGGAGAGAACCTTTTGCTGATAACACATACACTCGAACCTCCATTACAAAGCTTTTGTTCATGAGCAGAGCAAATGAGAAGACCTCAAATGATATCCATTAAAATTGCCAGAAGATGTGTGGCAGAGCAGGGTTGAAACCTGCCTTGTGTCAGGCATTTAATTTTTAATGATTATTTAAATATGTCTATTGCTTGTTTTACCCTGATATAAATGTGAAACTGCATTATTCCTGAATGTCACTGGGGAGATCATCTATCATTGTCAATTCTTGCTGGGCTTTCTTTCAAGCCATATGCAAAAGTTTCTCTGTAAAATGACTTCCGCTTGATGATATGCAGTATGCCTTTGGATGGAATAATGATCAGTGCATGAAAGTTTTAATTTATTGAGGAAAAAAAAGCAAGCTTTTACAGCCTCCATAAGAGCAGATTATAAGCAGTTGGGTCATCTGTAGCTTTAGGACTACCAAGGATCTGGTACTAAAAATGTTTTTCACTTAACAGTCAAAGTCACAGATTACATGACCTGGAAATTAAAAGTTGCAAAAGTTTGAAATTTGTTGAAATGAAAAGTTGCAACAAAGGGCAGATTTTCCAAAGGTACAGTCTGTGGTTAGTGGCCCAGCTCTCATTAAATCTATGAGGGCATTTTGCAGCTCTTTGAAAAAATCTTCCTTACAATTTTTAACAATAAAACTAGAGCAGATTTCCAATACATAGCGAACCCAGAGTCAGCTGAACTCTTCATGTGACATCTGTATAGCTTTTGAAAAGATTCAGTGCTTGCAACACCAGCTGCTGGGCTTGATGCACCCGACCTGAATGAGAACATGTAGGCGGTGGTAAGTCGGCAGAGACCGTTCTGACCTGTGTTTCCCATTTATGTGGCTGGGAGTTGAGGGCATTAAATGGTGCCAGACCCTGAACTGCATTGTTGGATTACTTTGAAGTCAGCCGTACATACAGACTGTGCTATCTGTGCCCTAATCCCATTCCCATTTAAATCAGTGATAAAAGTCTTACTCATTTCAGAAGAACTGGGCCTCAGTAAAGGGGAGTTGTATGTGTGGTTAACTGCATATAGAGAATGGAAGTGTGTTCAAACAAAATATGGTATCAGCAGTCACTAAACAGCTGCCCATGTCACTGGAGGTAGGATTTGACCATTAGCCATCCTGTTTCCAGTGTCATGTTTGGAGGCAATATTAGAAAACCCATTTACTTACTAGGGTTATTCCATCAGACGACTCAGCAACAGAAACAGGGTAAAACAGGGTAAAGGCTGCTTGTAAAGGACCCTGTAGTGTCCTGAATGGTACAAAGGTTTCTTGTCTCCCAGGCTACAAATCCTGCAACAGTTTGGCTGTGTCAAGCACCTCTTTGGCTCTCCATTTGACTCAGTGCTGGCTCTTGCCTATGGGGTGAGCAGAAGGGGAGGAATGGGAGGAAAAAGGGAAGCAGCGGAGTGAAGGGAGGAACTGGGCAGGGGAAGCCCGAGGCTAGGGGAGGCAGGGAGAGGAGGGCTAAATGCAAAATAAAACTATGGAACCCACTGACCATTTGCCTCACGTGGTCTCATCTGTCACAGTTGTCTTTGATGTCCTGCTGGTGGGTCCCTCTTGGACAAGGACTGCATCCTCTCTGTGTCCCAGAGGGTGTGCTGCTCCATTCTGGGAAAGGATTAATAGAGTCAGTTATTAGTGCTAATATCTCAGTGCTTCAGAATTACCATCCACAACATGGAGATATATTTCTCACAGGAATGTCAAAGATTAAGCTTAGCAGTGTTTAAAATCATTTGGAGGGAAGATATAGAGTACAGTGCTACTATTGCTTCCTCAGTCATTGCTCCAAGGTCTTTCACTCAGGCAGAGTGTTATTGCGGTAATTCAGATCCCATCATTTCTAAACCTTCACCATTTTCACATTCTTTGTATGACAGCTACACTGCAGTATGACCACAATGGATTGCTGTAACTGCAGCACCTCTGCAAGAACCCGTGAAAGATTTCGGTGAGAATAGCTTGGCGGTGCAAGAGCAACCTCAAGCTACCGATTAAGAATTACTGTTATCCTGTGTTGTACTATACGATACCGAAATAAAATTCACTTGATATGAAAAAGGGCCAAGCATGTCTGAGCATACTTCTCAAGGCCTGAGTGAAGGTTCAATTCAGCCCATGGCACTGGCCAGCGATTTGAAAATAGGTTGAAAGCCTCTGAACAGAACATTATGTGATGTGGGCTGACTCTGGTGGTAAGTGTTTAATCACTGACTTCCTCCCAGCTCACCTTTTAGCCACGTAATTACTTTACAGCAGTTTGGCTTAATTTTCTGCTAATGATGATATGGGATTCACGCAGAGCATACATCTTGCTTGCCTCTCTGCTGACAGAAAATGGCTTGAGAGAAGCGAATGATACATGAACAGGCAGGTATCACACTTAGCAATGCTTTGAAGTCGGTGTTGGTATTAGCTCTTGTGCTGAAACGGGTACCACAAACTAGGTTAATCAAGGGCACAGTGCTACGGAAGAAATAAATCTCTTTTCTAGTCTCTTTGTGCAGCAAGATCATATTAGAAAACACAGAGCACTTTGATTTGGTAAAGCCTGTCCTCCAGAGCCTGCAAACGGTACGACAACAATTTATATCCCTTGAGGATCTGGCCCAGATGTTTTATGTAACTTTGTAATTTTTGCCTTTTTCTCTCTGAACCACCTGCCATCGAATGACCTGATAATAAACAGGGAAATTACTATCAAGCAATATAGACTATACTGTAAACTACTTCCTAAAAAGGACGAGTCGGTTCTGCTTTCAGTTACATTTGTGCCATGCCAATGAATTTCGACAAAGGAACATGGTGTGCCCAAGACTGAACTGTTTCATTTTCAAGAGCTGCATTTAAGAAAAGAGAGGAGAAAAGAAAATTAAATTAAATGAAGCAATAAAGCCAGAGAATTTCTGTTTGAAGAAAATCTGCACTGTTTATTGCTAGCTCCACATCCCCAGTGAGTCGACATTTCAGGAAGGACGTTGCAGTTCTGTTCAGCTTACTTGAGAGAGAGTATTGATGTCTAGGCTAGAATGAGCACAAATCATGCATGAGTAAGTTGTTTATGCTGTCAGTCATTAGCTACAGATTTGGAGTGCTGGAGAACGTCGGGAACTCTGCGGTGCCCTCCTTAAATTAGGGACCGAGTCAGTTGTGCCATAACCATTTGCTGTGCGCAACCTTCAGCATTGTATTGACCACAGACTGGTTTTGTAAATTAAAGTAGTAATCCTTGTTTATCAATATTTATTTAGGGAAGGTTGCAAGCTGTGGGTAGATGCATAAGTCCTTATTTGAGCCATTCTGCTACGTGCTTTAAGGAAAGCTAACCACTCTGTCCTGCAAACTGATGCTTACTCTGTGGTGGAGAAAACTAGACTGAAGCTTGTTCTGTCACATCAGCGTTTGCCTCTTCTCTTCTGGGACAGTGTACAAAGTCTTGAGAGAGTCTGTCTGTGGTACTCTCCTGCAAACACCTCCCAATTAGCCCACCTTGAAGTCTGGTACCCACAACTGGAGCCACTATTCCCCCAGGGCTCTGCTGGTGCTGAAGAGCCTGGAGGGATGACCTCACAGGCCTCTTGCAGACTGTATGCTCCTATTTGTTTGTCCAGGTATGACATTGGCTTCTGTCGCACTGACCTTCATGGAGAACACTTTCCTGTCTATGCCTTTGTAAAGGGACACCTTTGTCTGCATTTTGAGGGAAGGCATAGCTGAAGCCAGTTCACTGTTTCTGCCATTGTTCACAAAAGAGAAGGGTGAAGTGGGCACCAGGAGCCTCAGGGCAGGATTCAAGTCTTGTTCCTTCATCACCGCAAGAATGAAATAATTCCCAAATTAATACAAATCACGGCATTAGCACAAGAGCTGGTTTGATAATTTTGTTCCAAGAACTGGGCATCAGTTCTGACCAAGCAAGAAGCATTATCACATCTTGACAGAAAGTTTTTCATGTGTAACCTCCCACATGTGGGAAAACAAAAGAAATTACTTTGGAGCTTAGTGCCGAAGTGCAACAAAGACTTAAAATAACTCCCAGTGAAAAGTGGGAGTCTATGTTTCTATATGCTCTGAAAAACATGACTCAGATGCCCTCAGAAATTTGGTCACTTCATCAGTGCAGTAACCTGTGACTCATGAAGTGAACTACTTTAAATGCGCCAAGTTTTTAGAGAAAATGCATTGACCAACTGTCCACAATCCATTAGCAATGAGCAATCTGTGCTTGGTTTTCTATGAGCAGTTCCTTTTGGCCTCTCATGGTTTTTGTTTCCTTTTAATGTGACGTACAAGAAGGGATGTGTGCAACGGAGTGACGCCGCAGCTTCCTACACAACCGGACAATTGCTAATGAAAAATTGCACTGTTAGATTTGATGGACTGAACTTGCTAGTTTTCAAATCACATAAAGCTAAAGTACGTTGACAGTGATGAGTGATACACACTTGCCAGCACAAATATGTCAGTATATTCAGTTTTGTGAATACATTAAGCACTGTGGATGCACTTAGCATAATGCATTTGTGTTTTAACTGGATATTCTGTGGCTGGATTGATGTTTGCATTTCTACCCGAGATAAAATGGTGCAGAGGAATTTCATCTATATAGCACAAGTTCACCTTTGTTGTCAGTAAAGTCAGCAGCTTCAGTAGGAACTGAATTTGATTTAAGATCAAAAAGAAAAGTTTGATTTTGCTAGTCTGTCCTCTTCCTTCCTACTGTGTTTCCCTTTCCCTTAGGGGTGGCAATCTGAAGCTGTCAGAGCATCTTATTAGCTACAGCAATGGCTCAACAGCAAACATTTAATTTTTGAGAAATGGTGAGAGTGTTCTGGCATTATCTCTCTATCAGCTTCTGCCGCTCTCCTATCATTTAGATTCTAAATGCTACAAATTACAGCGTGTAGCTTGTGTTGTAGACCAACAGGAATTTTAGACTTTGGACTAATGTTCTCTATCTACATTGTGTCTAAATGACATTGTAGATGCTGATGTGCGGGCACATGGTCACTGTAAAACGACCTGGGACTACTCACTCCCGCCTTGTAAAACTGAAATGAGAAACATGGGTTGCCTAGATGAAAAGCTGTGTTTCACAGGATCAATACC